AATGTATTAGATTACATTTAAAGCTCTTATTTTCGTTGATTATATATGAAAAATAAAGTTCGTTTAAATTATTCTCTTATTCTTTCTGTGTATGACGAATTTAAACGTTCTCAATCAAAATTTTTTCCGAATAATAACGTATTTGATTTTTATGTAACACAACATCTAAAACACTTAACAGGGAATCGAAACAAAACTTGCGATGGCCTGATATACATGTGGAATCAGATTCATAAGGCGATTACTAAAAGTCAATAAGCATGAAAATGTTTGTTCGTTTACACTTTTTCAAATGATGATATCTAGAGCTAATAAAATTTTTATATCTGGTCATATTTATTTGGGGTATTCTTTCCATTTAGTTCTTTGTAAATAATAATATTTAAATTCGTTTAAAGATGATTACTGAGACACGGATGCATCGTATCGATGAAGATATTCTCACATGACAATTGGCAATACATGCATAATTATTTTTATTATTGAACAATTACATTTTCACTTAGAATGTGAAAATAATAATTATGTATTGTCTTGCAGTAAATATGAATATTTTTGTAATACAGTTCAAAAATCCTAACGCAGGAAGATTGCACGTACCATGTTAATTAATCAGATTTTATTATAAACAATTTCTAGAATTAGGACTCATCAATAATTTAGGACATTAAAATCGAAAAAATAATATATAGGGTCTGATCTAGGTAAGAGAATTTTTTGACTAAAATTTGAAAGTTATTGTATTTTAATATAATCATTCAAAAAGTATAATGCAATAAAAATCTTAATTTTTATATATTGTACAATATATTATCAGTTTAATTTTTTTAATATTATACGGGACCTTTGCAGAATGTTGAGAGATAATGAAATACATATTTATATAGCCTCATCCGTTACTTGATTTTTTTATTTATAAAATTTAGATATATTATTACAATTAAAATGTCTTTTACAAATCGCCGTAGAAAAAGTTATTATCAAAGACGACGGATTCAACGTCAAGAACGACGAATTATGAATTTAATCCGTATACAGATTAACAATGACACATTAAGAAGAATTGAAAATCTTCCTCCTCAAAATACGAATGATTCATTCGCAAATCAATTATTTAATGGATTACATTCTTTCTATTAAAATTTACCTTTAATCAATTAAAACTTTTTATTTCATATTTTATTATTTATTAATTTTTATTGATAAAATATTTTTCTTTACTATCATGTTTACTATATACTGTATATGCTATCTTTTTATCGTACATCGTATAGACTGCCTTACCTATGGCATTTTTCTTTTTTTAAATATTTCGCATTATATAGTATTATACAGTATACATTTATTGCAAGAGCATAAATATTTTAATTTTTATGATCTGTTATATATGGTTATTATAGAGTTATTAGGCACGGAGTATTCAATATGGAGGTGGGTGTTGAATGATTGGCTGTCATTGTGCCACTGCGTGGCATATGACAACAATATCTTATTTGGCTGCATAATAAATAAATAAATATATATATATATTCTTCATTTGATTATGTGAACAGTATTATTGATCAATATATGACATTTCAATAAAAATAAATATATAGTAAATAAGATTTGCATGATAACTCCAGAATTATTTGAAATATATTGAAGATTCCGTATGAATAAACGGGGCAATCAGACGATAATCAACATAACCCATTAATATTATAATGCGTAATAACAAAACACGAAACTATATGAAAGTATGATTTTTTAAAAAAATATCGTTTCTATATCTTTTATATCTTTTAAAAAAAACAGATCGGATATTTGAAACACACCTATATAGGACTAACACGGCTTTGCTTTCTTATGTATAAAGTATATTATGTGTAACATATAGTTCAGGCCCTATGTTGGCCCCTGTTTATTCAAAGAATCTGATTTCATAAATGATCGGTAAAACTAGCTTTGTGTTACATAAATTAATATTAGAATAGGAACTGATTTCTTTGGGAGGTTAAAGCGGAGGATTAAAGTGACATAAGAAATGTTCGTTATCTGCAGAGTTTGTTTTCTAATTGTTTGCTAATGACATTTGCCAGAAAATTGTTAAAGTAAATAGCTCAGTTCATAAATCTAGAGGAGTTTCCATTCTTCTACTACTATAAAACGAAGCATCATTATCGTTTTCTGTTTTTCATTTTCATTAAAGAAAATGAAACGAGGAAAAAAAAAATTGCTCAAAATTCAAAATTTATATTCATAAAATATGTTGGTTAAAAAATCATTATAATTCGATTTAAGCTAATGATTTAGTCTAAAAAAGGAAATTAATGAAACGTCATTGTTTCTATATAGAATGTCTAAAGTGGAAAATTTTGATAGTTGGGGATTCCAAATTATGATCTCGAATGGAAAACTTGATAGATTGACATTACACAGATCACATAAAAAAATTTGCAAAAAAATCAATAAAGTAAATTGAAAAAGTGATAAATCATTGATTTTACAAATCCTAATATGAATAGATCTAGCTTATCAAAAGATTTGATCTCAAATTATGATAAAAATGGAATGTATCATCATCAATTGAATGACACAATGCCAATTTTCTTTGTCAAATGATGATTTGATTTTTCTTCTCTAAAGTTATATTTGAAATAAATAGCCTCAAAAATAAATCTTTATTCCCAAATTTTTTTTTATTCTTTTTAATAAGAAAACATTTAGACATAAAATAAAAATGTATCCTATTATGGAATCTCGAAGAAAAAGACGAAAAATACGATATTTTAACTATAGATCGAATGATACACTGAATAGAATGTTAAGTACTCGTCAACAAAATACAAATGATTTATTTGTAAACCAATTTTTTAATGGAACTTCTTTTTAATTAAATCTAAACGATAATTTCTTTACATTTTCTCATTTTATTAATTTATTATCATAAAAAAAAAAAAAATTATCATCACATTTATCAGAAAATCTTCCCTTTTTTGACTTCATGTGCATCGCGCATATG